GCGTCATGTCTATCTGATTGACCCCTCTTAACAGAAATATTTGAACCTAAATTATTTGCAGAACCTAAAAACAATCCAAAGTTACTGCTAGGTGCAGAATCAGGATTCGGGAATAAGGAGGACTTGCATTGCGGACTCGGTTAACAAACCCATTTTGTTCACCTTCTGAAATGATTTTATCAGATTGTTTTTCTCGTAGGCGTCTGCTTGAAAGCTCTCTTGATTGACTCTGACTGATACCTTTTAGTGGTGTAGCAAATATGAGACTTGCACGATGAATTCCAGGACTCAAGATGCTCTCAAATTTGAAGTTTTTGCTTCCTTTAACATTTGATAATCTTTCTGCATCTACAAATAACCCCTCTGGAAGAATTGATGTAGATCCAAGGGTACCAGCTTCCACATGAGAATTGTCGACATATCCACCCAATATTTTAGGAATTTCAGAAACGGGTGGTCTCAAAGGAGTAGCCATATGGTCTGGTTGTAAAACAATAGAATCAGACATGGAAGGAACCAACAAACTCCCTGATTTTGGTTCTTGCAATTCACGGAAACCGGTTCTTGTTGGTCATTTCATCCTGACGAGAATCAACTACTATATCAGGCAATGTTCCAGTCTTTACTTGTTGCAGGACTTCTGGAAGCAATTCTATACCTTCATCCTATTGGAGATGGGGTAAGCAAGTCAGTAGTTCAGTTATAAAAGCTACTTGCTACCAGTAAACCTTCAAACTTCACCAAGAACGGAAAACGAAGGATAGAAATGGGAGAATTGAATTTATTTGAATAGCAGCAACAATGACACTCAAAAGTTTAAACCACTTGCAACCAAATCTTTTCTCCTCTGACGATGTGATTCCATCCCTGATAGAGCTTCTAGAAAATTTTCATCACCAGAATGAGTTGAGATGAAGTCTTCCTCCAAGCTCCAAATTTTAAGATTGACTTGATATGCCTCAACATACCGATAGCGCTGAATTAGTAAACAGGAATCAAGTTAACAGGCTCCAGTAATACACTAATACATGTTAAGAATGATCCACTTAACCTTGAAAAGAAACACTCCTAAAAGTGATGTTTGAATCCATTGGATTGGCTAAGAAGGGGAATTATAGAAAATCTGACGGTCAAAATGAGAATCACAAAAACAACTTAAGGCCCAAATACAGGCAAGCATTCCCATCAGTGAATCAGTGGATATTAAGTTAAAATGACATAAGACAAGATTATATATATCTCTTCATGATCTTCCATAGCTCGATACATTACCTGAAGATAGAATACAACAAGAAGACTTCCAATAGTAGACCCGGAGTCATCAGTTGCACAATCTAACAGGCATTTGTAGATATATTTCTCTTCACCATTCCACGGTAACTCCATTATTTGATCAACCACATTCCTCCTGATGCATAAACAACAAAACTCAGTGACCAATACTTCTATCCACTCCATCCAGGACCTGCATTGACTTTTCAAGTCATCAAATGCATCCCCGCCCGGTTCATACTTGAACTTCTTTTCCCGGGCTTTTGTACAGATCATTCGCTGATATACAAATGCTTCAGTCAAAAGCGCACACTCCACTTTCACCCGAACAATAGTAACAGCACCACCAAGAGAAACCATCTGAGATCCACCATCAAGATCAGACCCGCGAATCACCATTTGTGCTGTCCTAAGATTCTGTCTTTCTAAAAGAACTAGTACAATCTTTGGATGAGTTTCTGGGTCAGAGATCTCAGGGAGAAATTGATGACACTCCTGAGAAATATGATTGTGGAAAATGATCAAGTGGAATTATGTTAGAAGCAAGCACATCTAGAAGGGCAGACAAATAGTTCTCTACTGTCATCCCCTTAAACAAGTACCATGGTTCTCCACAAGAAACGGGCACAATAATAAGGTAAATAATTAATTTGGGTTCTTTAAACTCCAAATATTTCTTTTGGATTTAGCAGAGAGGAGCTCCAGGAACTATATTAGTTCTCTCAGATATTAGTCTATCAGAGGTTATAACTCACAAATCACAATTCAAAAAGAAACTACCTTTATTCTGGGTGAAAATAAAACCTCATACGGACAGAATTAGTGACCAAACATTAAAGATAATACCAATTAGTTTAAGGTTTAACCAGCACGGGTAAAATTCACTGGATGACAAGTAACAACATTTTTCAAGTCTTATGAGTACAGGTACGGTTTCCATCGAAGCTTAGGCATGCATGTTAGAATTGTAATCCATTGAGCAATATAGCATACTTCAATAGTCACTTTTTTAACCAATTGGACAGTCATACCAGTCTACCATCACAGCATAATTTAATGGCAATAGATACCATCAGACTACCCATCTAATGAATTAGCAAGTAGCAGACAACCTAGAAAATGGTTATACAATTAATCTGAAATATGCACACAGCAAGTAAAAATGGAACTTAGACTCAAACAAGCTTTTATAAGAATAGATAGAGAAATTACCAGTAAAGCTTCATGTGAGTGGTCATCAAGAAGACAGAAAGTGAATGACTCGAGTAATGATATCTCAACTGCTTATACCAAAGGAGCCTGCAAAGTCATCAATGATATCTCTCCATTCTTCCTCAGGCCTACTCCAATGTCGATCAAACAGATAATACACAAACTACATCTCAGTTAAGAAAAATTAAATGAGTGTGCCCAATAAAAAAAATGTCCAATCAACAGAAGAACCCTAAATGAAAATAAGTTAGAAAGAGAAGGATACAATTGCTTGCTTGGCAACCACCAAATCAGAAGCACCACGTAGAAAGAGAATGTCCACAGCAGCTCGAAGACTTTCAAATGGATAACTTCCTGCAATTCCCCCTATTTTAGACTGAAAAAAGGACGAGGCACCATTCTTCTGCAAAAAGGAAAAATCTGACTCTTCCCCCATCTCCTTGTATATATCAAGATTTGCTAGTGCATCTTCAATGAAAAGGGAAGCACCCTGTCCGGTGAGTCAGCTGAGAGATCCAACACCTCAGGCACAGGCCATGCACGCGCAATTGCCGCTGATTTCCTTTCACAGACATGATTACACCAGGATGTCAAATCAGCATGACGAGACCTCACATCTTCCAAGAATTGGTGCCTTATACACCATATTGAGATCTCAATATGCTGAAAATTTAAAACAAATATCGTGGAAAATATCAATTATTGCATCATTTTAAGATAGTATATTTTGAGTAATTTGTCCAATGAAATGCTAAAAGGAGCATCAATGCTGCAATACATGTACTTGGACTCAGGTGTAAGCGTCGGACACGGGTATGGTTAGATTTTTCTGGATTTTTTTAATGTATTTGAAGGATTCTTGGAGGTCATATCCCCATATCCAAGTGTTGGACACAGGTACTTAATGAAAAATGAAGAATCAGAACAACATAGGCCGTGATATTGTACAGTACTAATAGACAAAAGATGAACACATCAACATTGCCTCAAGAAGATCAAATAAATGCAATGGCCAACTGAATGCCAATAATTGCTCACAAATTCCAAGCTCCACCAGCTAAATTCTTTACTCAGCTGATTTCAAGATCGCAGGTTCCGAGACTTTGCTACAAACATATTGCTCTTAAAAGATGCTAAAATATGGTAAAACATTTGCTTAACTGAATCAAACCTGCTTTGTCTTCAATATACTCTCTTGAAGGTTGTGCAAGTCATGAAGCTGTGCTGAAAGACGACCCTTGAAAGATGAGTCCAAAACTTCAAGTATATTGGATAAGCTGGCCAGATGTACAGAAAACTTTAGAAATGAACCTAACCTATTTTTCATCTCTTCTAGTTCAAGATAATCTGATAAAAACAGTTAGGAACACCAAACACTCAATGTATAGACGAAAGGCTAAATAGCATCGTTCTCAAAGTTTTCAAGGATACATATATGTTGAAGTTCTGTTGCCATGTTTTTTAATGTCCACTTGACCCAACCCTTGACAACCTTCTCATCCAGCAACAAAGCAGTGACAGCATTACTGGAAACAGCAGTTTCATCCATACATATATCTGTAACATCTGTTGTTTTATGTTAAAGGAAGCATGGATTTCTAACAAACAACCATGGCAGCTGTAACCAGGACTTGATATGAAAAATATAAGCAAATCAGCATGTCCTACAGAGTTAAAACGTGGCCGAGAGAACAGAAAAAGGACACAATGACAAATCAAAGAAGCCAAGTTATTCTCCAATGCTACATCAAAGAAAGAATAAAGCCGTTGGACATCAGCTGTGAGTTGATTATTTCCATCTTCATTGTCTTGAAACCTCTCATCACATCGTCTAGAGATGAGGCCAGCATCTACACATTCATCAAAAAGGCGAAGTCGAAGTCTATTGTGACCACTTTTTATCAACGGAATTCTACAAATTGGACAAATATCATTGCGTTGACTACACTCCGCACATAGAGAAGCATGTCCACATGAATTTAACATATATTGTACATATCTTCCACAGCTTCTTAAGTCTCTAGCTGCTCGACGATGCTCACTTTTAGCCTCATTGACTAACTCACTAAGGCCGATAGTTGCCAAGTGTTACAAAGCTTCCTTAAATTTAAATTAGAACCTACATAATTTCTCATACTAAAATTCTCCGATAAACATCACTATCAAGCTGTGTAACAATTTATTCGCACATTACATGATAAGCTATAAATTCATTTCAACGTGATTCTTTTAATACTTAGTTGAACTTAAACCCTAGTAGTTGCAAAAAGAAAAAGAAGTTCCCAATATCCGATTCTGTGCAAGCAAATGTGTACTTAATTCGCTTGTTACATCACCATTACAAAGCATCAAAAAAAATTAAGAAGTAAAAACCCTAAGAAACGTAAAGGGCCTAGGGTTTTTGCAGTTGACGGTTAGATTAGAGTACCTGAACTGCTCCGCTACTGAAGTTGGGTTGAAAAGGAGAAGCCGGTGATCTAAAGGTGTCGCCATTACTTACGATAATGGAAGAGAAAAGCGGACCGTTGGTTTCCGATTTCTCCATTTAGTTTTCAACTCTGGTAATGGATCTGCCTGGGAAAGTGAGTAAAGTTTAACAGCCCGTTTGGATCAAGGATACCATGTTTGGTGTTGGTGTATGATTCCCAAGGGTAATTAAGAGAAAATCGTCTGACCAAAAAAAAGTTATAATATACGATTTTAACCAATTTTTTTTGGATTTGCCAAGATGACCAACAAAATCACAACGCGAAATAAAAATCGCAACGCGATCCCCAGAATCGCAAATCAGTTTCCAAAATCGCAACGCGATTCTTGAAAATCGCAATGCGATAGTACAAATTCGCATTGCGATTTTCCAAAATCGCAACGCGAATATGAAAATCGCAACGCGAACACATAAATCGCAACGCGTATCCGTAAATCGCAACGTGTATCCGTATATCGCAACGCGTATCCGTAAATCGCAACGATAATACATAAAATCGCAACGCGTATCCGTAAATCGCAACGCGATATTTAAAGCGCCATTATAATCGCTACGCGTATTTTATTTTCAAATTACAAAAACCAATATTAAGACAAAATCCCGTAATCGCAACTCATAACCTAAAACCTAAAATCACAACTCAGTCCCATCTCCATCTCTTACTCTCTACGGCGAAGAAATCCGTCCCCATCCCCGAAGATTTCCGTCCCCATCTCCGGCGAAATCCCTCACAACCATTCACGGTCAGAAATCCCTCACAATATTCAGAAATGGAAAATCAACCTCCGAGGGTTAGTTTTTTTAATTATTTTTATTTTGAAATGTTTGCATTATTGTAGGTTTTTCATATTGAAACTGATGATAAATTTACTGGTCATTTCAATAATAGATTAACCATTTCACTTAGATTTCATTTCGCGTTACGATTCTGTCGTTGCGATTTTCATTTCGCGTTGCTATTCTCTCGTTGCGATTTTCAAGTTAGTATTTGTCTTTGTCTTTGTTCTGTCTTTTGGTTGAAGTAATGCAATCCATTCAAGTTTCAATTTGCAGAAGAGTCGCAACGAGATAAATGAAAATCGCAACGATAGAATGACTGTCGCAACGAGAGAAATGAAAATCGCAACGAGAGAATCGCAACGCAGAGAGAATCGCAACGCGAAACCAAAATCGCATTGCGATTTTCATTTCGCGTTGCGATTCTCTCGTTGCGATTTTCATTTCGCGTTGCGATTCTCTAGTTGCGATTTTCATTTCGCGTTGCGATTCTCTCGTTGCGATTTTCATTTCAACCAAAAGACAAAACAGTGTTGCAAATTTTAGTTTCAAGAATAAACTACTACTTTTTATGTTTATTGTTTTTGGTATATCTTCACAGTGTAGTTTTTGGTATATCTAACTTGGTATGTTTATTGTTTTTGTAGAAATTTTTTTCGGCTCAATTGACCTTGAGAAATAAAGTCAGCATGGCCACTACAATTGCTTCGAAGCTTTCACCTGCTCAAAGACAATTGTTTGAGGAAACCTGCTTCGGGCCATGGCTGAGAGTACAGCATCCGGGTGGAGATGCTAATTTGACCCATTTGTGGCTTCAGACCATGACATCAAATCTACCCGACAGTATACAACGTGGTGAGGAAGAGATATGGTTTCATTTTCCACCAGCGTATACTTGTTTTGGGCGGAAGAGTTCTGCTTAATCACTGGTCTACGATTCGGACACGATGATGTAGGCCGGTACACTCGTCATATCGCCCGCCCATCATGGTTATCCCGGGTTTTTCCGGATGAGTCAATGGAGAAGCCGAACCTACATGTCGACGACCTGAAGAAATTGTTTAATAAGAAAGCTGGTTTCACTCGGATGGATGACGTCGATGTTGTCCGAGTATGCCTTCTACTACTTGTGTATGCCGGCTTTTTAGGCAGAGAGGCCAGACAACCTATTCATCGGGAGCTAATAATATTGGTAGAGGACCTGAATGCATGGAATCTGTTTCCGTGGGGTTCGTATATATGGAAAGCTACCTGGACTAAGTTGTCGTCTGCCTTTGATGACCGCAAAAGTTTGCGGGGCGATGGGTCCAAATACACTTTGTCAGGCTTTGTTTGGGCCTTTAAGGTAAGAATTTCTATATAATGTTTCTAAAATTATAATTAATTATTTAACAATTACTAATTTTGTTATTATATTGTTTGTAGATTTGGATATTCGAGGCTTTCCCCAGCATGCGTACATATGCAATAAAAACGTCAAATGATATTCCCAGGGCTATTTCCTGGAAGAGGAAAACTCTGTTGGATTGGGAAGACTTAATACCATATGCGACAATAAATAATGTAAGTTAACACAAATACTTTCATATATATATAAACAAGTTATTAATAGTAGACGTTTAACTTTGTTTGAGTTTTTATATTTTAGGAGGCCAACATTCCATTACAAAGACTGACACCCACGGAGGAAGAGCTTGCCACTGATTGGTGGCAAGCTAGTCAGAGTTTTTTTGATGGCACGGATGATGAGCAGCATCCACTTCCTCCAATTCGAGAGCCATCACCTCACCTAGAGCCATCACCCGATCGACCCGACTATACACCTCTAGAACGAGAGCCATCACCTATCCCGTCACATCATCGAGCCTCTTCTCCACCATCACCTCATGATAGGCGACCGACAAAGATGCCACGACTCCTATCTCCCTGTTCTCCACCTCCACCTCAACGGGATGAGTCAAGGGAGTTACGTGATGAGGTCAATGCCTTGCGTGAGGAGATCGGTACTCTACGCGATAACGATGGTGCATGGCGTGTGGAGGTGTCAACTTTACGTGGTGAGGTTGCCGCTCTACGTGAGATGATAGTATCGTTGCAGAATGAGGTTCATACTCTACGCAACGAGGTAAGTTTAAGATTTTCCATATTTAACTTAATGATAAATTTACTCGTAATTTCACTTAGATTAGCCATTTCACTTAGATTGCTTAGTAAATTTATTCGGTTGCTGCCAATTCTGCTAAACTGTGTATTCTTTAACACTGTGAAATAGTATTTGTCTTTGTTTTGTCTTTTGGTTGAAAGTAAATTTGTTCGGTTGCTGCCAATTCTGCTAAACTGTGTATTCTTTAACACTGTGAAATAGTATTTGTCTTTGTTTTGTCTTTTGGTTGAAAGTAAATTTGTTCGGTTGCTGCCAATTCTGCTAAACTGTGTATTCTTTAACACTGTGAAATAGTATTTGTCTTTGTTTTGTCTTTTGGTTGAAGTAATGCAATCCATTCAAGTTTCAATTTGCAGAAGAAGAAATAGTTTACTTTCGCAACACGAAACTTAAAATCGCAACGCGAAATGAAAATCGCAACGACAGAATCGCAACGCGAAACCAAAATCGCAACGACAAGATCGCAACGCGAAACCAAAATCGCATTGCGATTTTCATTTCGCGTTGCGATTCTTTCGTTGCGATTTTCATTTCGCATTGCGATTCTGTCGTTGCGATTTTCATTTCGCGTTGCGATTTTGGTTTCGCGTTGCGATTTTAAGTTTCGTGTTGCGAAAGTAAACTATTTCTTCTTCTGTAAATTGAAACTTGAATGGATTGCATTACTTCAACCAATAGACAAAACAAAGACAAATATTAACTTCAGGGTATTAGTTTGAAACATATTTTTCTTTGTTATCTGATGCATTTTGTGAACTATGATAGAATAATGACTTGGGTGAATAAATGCAAGTTTGAAACATATTTGTCTTTGTTTTCACTGTTTAAATATCATGTCTGTTTATTTACTGATTTTTGTATTTAATTATTTAGCGGCCCGATAGAGTGGATGCTTTACGTCGGGTTATGCTTGCACGACGGAGTTCACGCATCAGACAGCGTGCACGTGCTATTAAGTCTCCGTACACCCCAATAGTGCGAAGACACCGCAAGAAGAAGCCCGACTCGCCTGTCATCCCTCAAGAGTCCACTCCTATCGTTGAAGAGGCCCCCCTATCATTCCTCGAGAGTCCCCTCCCACCGTTCAAGAGGCCACTGTCATCATTGAAGAGGTCCCTCCCACCATTCAAGAGCCCGATTCACATGGCGTCATATGTAGGCTTCTTGAGAAACCCTCTGACGTGCCGGACATGATGGATTCAAGTTGGCTCTCGTATGAGTTACCGGCCAGTACCATACCGGTATCTGAAGAGGAGAGGGATCAACTACCGGACACAATTCTGGATAACACCCTTTGGGCTAAGACCGCTGTTGATTTTTATCTACATGAGCAGAGCCAGGGGTGTTTCACTGACATATGCAAGCTCACCGATGATATCTATTTGTTGCTTGATCGGTCTTGGTGGGGCGTATTATTAGGGGTCGAAGACAATGGCTATTTCGATGGGGGGGTAAGTCTTATATTTTTCTTATATTTCAATTTGATTAATTTTTTTTTAAATTTATGTAAGTCACTAATATATGTCTTTTTTTGTAAAACAGCATATCGATGCGTGGGTGACACGTCTTCTAATAATAAGAAAACTTAAGAAAAATAAAAATACGATATACAATTATGCCGACGTCTTTTCACGCCGTTCACTTGAAGAATGCACGAGATGAATCATTTGATTTGGGCAATGGACAAGCTAAACTTTATCCTGCATGGTGGGAGGTCGATAAGGTTAGTATTTATTTTAGATTGAGTTTAAAGGTTTTATGAAATAAGTGCGCAAATGAATGAATTATTACTTATGATTGCAGGTGTTTATCCCTGTTTTGGAACGTAAACATTGGATTCTCGTCGAGCTTCAGCTCCCATCCCTTAAGACAATAGTGTATGACAGCATGATAAATTACATATCATTGGCTGATTTAAGAGATGTTATTAAGGGATGGAGCTCTCATTTGGCTAAATTCTTGGATGCGATCAATTATTGGACTCGTTCTGGAAACAAGAAGCCAAAGAAGCTCAATATTACAGTTATTAGAGACGAGACCGCGCCACAACAAACGAGCGGAGCCAGAGGAGATTGTGGTCCTCTCGTATGCTTGGCGTTGGAGCGTTTGACGACGGGAAGCATCAAGTATCTACCTCCCACCGATAGAGATAGAGCTGCAGTAGGCTTGTGGTTTCGGCATTATATGGCTAAATCGATATATACGAGACGCTGCCTACCTGCATCCGCGTTATAAAAATGTCCATAAACAATTGGTAAGTTTATATACTTTTGGTTTGAAAATGTTTGGTTAAGTACCTAGAATTCAATAATTTGCTGTTTGTAGGTTTTAGATGTGTAGAAAGTGTTGTTTGAGCAAATGTTTGGTTTCTGCAGGTTAATCTCAGAAGTGAACTGCGTGAAAATGATGTATGGCTGCAAAAGTTGATTCAATAGTTTAATTGATTGTTTTTTGATTGTTTAATTGATTTGTAAAAGTTGATTCAATAGTAGATGATCGGAAATAAGAATTATTGCTTATTTTTTGATTGTTTAATTGATTTGTAAAAGATGATTTGTAAAAGTTGATTTGTGTAATTGATGCGAATATAATTCTTATTTGTGCTTGTTTAATTGATTGAAATGTAATGGTTGATTTTGTTGATTTCAATCTGCATTATGTTGAAGGCAAAATTGACTATCGCAATGCGAAATGAAAATCGCAATGCGAAATGAAAATCGCAACGAGAGAATCGCAATGCGAAATGAAAATCGCAATGCGGAAATGAAAATCGCAACGGAGAATCGCAATACGATTTTAATTTCGCATTGCGATTCTCTCGTTGCGATTTTCATTTCGCATTGCGATTTTCATTTCGCATTGCGATTCTCTCGTTGCGATTTTCATTTCGCATTGCGATTTTCATTTCCGCATTGCGATTTTCATGTTGGGATTTTCATTTCGCATTGCGATTCTCTCGTTGCGATTGTAATTTCCGTGTTGCGATAGTCAAATGCATGCCTAATAGTGATAACAACTGAATAACAAGAGTTGGTTAAGTCAAAATGGTTGGCCTGAGTCATTAATTCAACTGAAAATGTTAAAAGTTCACACATAAAATCCACATAATACAACGTTTGCATTTAAAAATCACCTAAGTTAACAGTCCCAAAAGGTGAAGCCAATTGTGATTTTGATGAGGATCCATATTTTGGTAGAGGAAAAGATGATTTTGATGGCACTGGTGATCCACATGTCAACCTTGTATGACCACTTTCCTTGCACCGACTACATGTCGATCTCTTCTTCTCTTCACCCTTAGACGGTATACGATCGTGACTTTTTGGTCGGCCAGGTAGCCTTCTGTCCATGGCTGGTGGCAAAACTGTTTGTAAGTCATCTGGTATGTCCCACTCAGAAGGATGTGGAATAGGGTAGACAATCTCGGCATAAGTCTGTCGATAAACTTCTGTAGTGTAGCAATCCATAGCGTATGCGCTTGAATCATCTTGGTTTAAATGAAGAGCAACTTTTATAACATGGCCACACGGATAACCAGATGTTTGCCATTTCATACAACTACACGTCTTTGCATTTAGATCGACTAGCCCATTTAAGTTATTATCCAGTACTTGAAACAAAGTGTTTGAACATGGTTCAACTCTCCATGACGTTGACTTCACAACACGTTTCGTTATCTTTTTTCAGTCCATGGTGTAACACGATGTTCCAATGTTCCTGTAAATTTAAATAAACAATACTTAGTAAAATATATAAATATGATAAGTTACGAATTCAAAGAAATAATACCTGCATGGTTTCTTTTCTTGTAGTACCACTGTTGAATAGAGGCTCGAAAAAACTCCATTAACATAGTAATGGGTAATTTCCGGGAATGACGACTTAGAGCGTTGATTGATTCTGCACTATTAGACGTCATGAAACCATATCTTGCTCCAAGTTGATGTACTCTTGACCATCTTTCAAACCCGACATCTTCTAGTGTTTGAGCACACTGAGGCAAAACACGTCTTAAACAATTTATATGCTTATTGAAATCCACTTCCCGATAAGCTTTTACAGCCTTCCAGTATGTCCATTTGTGCTTTTTTATACCAGCAGACCTTGATTTTAGATTTCTATACAAATGAACACCACAAAGTCCATGAAAAGCATCTGGGAAACACCTTCTAACAGCGTTGTCAATTGAGTTTGCCCTATCGGATATGATTGTCAGATTGCTAATAGGACCTATGCAATCCCTAAGATGCCCCATAAACCATGTCCATGAATCAGAGGTTTCAGATTTGCCAACCCCGTAAGCTATTGGCAATATCCCATTGTTAGCATCCATGGCTACTGCTAATAAGTTTACTCCAAGGTATCGACCTTTCAAATGTGCTCCGTCAACTATAATAACTGGGCACATGCAAGTAATAAACGAACGAATCTACAAAATAATATACACAAGAAATATAATCATTTAAATGTGAAATGCATGTAACTAACAAAAATGAGTCAACAAAATTATATTGATTTACTAACCGTAGCACCAATGGCGATAAACAGCAACTCAAAGCGTCCATCTCTATCTGTTTTGATATGAGTTACCGACCCAGGATTTTTCAGCTTTAAATTGTGACAATAAGCCGGCAGTTGGGCAAACGATGCTTCTGGCGACCCCCTCAACAATTCCAAGGCATAACATTTGGCTCTCCAAGCTTGAGAATATGATATACTAATCTTGAACCGAGCATTCATGTCAGTCATAATTTCATGTCCCCGATATACCCTGCCATTCAAAAACATTAACTCAGCCAGAAAACCACCCAACACCTTTTTGTTTGTCTGTCTATGGTGAGGAAAAACTTGGGTTCTTGAACATGTATGTTTATCAATAAAAGTCCTAACTTGAAACATTTCGCAATCTTTTATTCTCTTTGCAATCATTCGCCACATACAGTTTTTGTCAATCATACACCTTGTTTCGAAACGATCTTTGCTTGATTTGTTAACTTTTAGTTGATAGCCATCTTCCACACATTTCGTATACAAAGCTATCTTCAAGTCTTCCTTTGTATCAAAACAATCATCTTTCTTGATACGAATAACTTTTGTGTAACAATCAACTGCTTTCTTTACCAACTCTTCTTCCGGTATCTGAAGTAATTCTGGCATATTCCAGTTATACGCCCGTGGCATTTTCTTTTCTTCGGGGATTTTTTCTTCTTCTTTTTCTTCTTCAGGATTATATGAATTACAGAATGGATGTTCAACATGTTCATTCACAGTCGTAACTTCCTCCTCATTATCATCAACAATACATTCTTCGGCAACGGCTGTTTCATCATCAAAATTCGGGTATTGACCAATATCAAAATCATTACACGCAGGGTCTGTTTCTTCTTCTGAAACATCATCAAAATCCATGTATTGACCAATATCAAAGTCCGGATATTGACAAAGACCAAATTTCGAATACTGACTAGTACTCACAATTTTTTCTGTTGGCTCATCATCGTCTAACTGGTCAATACGAAAACCGGAATTTGGTGCTGAAAGTTGATTGGGATTTGGATTAGAGAAAGGTTGTGGGTTTTGAGAAAAACTTAGTTGATTACTACCCGCTACTGACCCAAAAATACTACTTCTAGGTTCAACAACATACAATGTAACATCATCTTGTGAAACACTAATGTAAGCAATGAATCGTTCAACATCTTCATTGTCGGTTAACAAATAAACTTTACCATTTCTCTGATAAGATAGCCTAAATCCACTTAGGGGCTCTAAATTCAATTTATTTGAAACACGTAGCATTAGAGTTTCATAAGTTAACTTTTGTAAAGACAATTTTAGTTGAAGATTCATGGGTAAAGGCATATATGTAAAACACCATGAACATTATCCCATGACCCTCCAAAACACAAATCTATCCAAACATGATCAACATTAGATGATTTCATGGTTGTAAATTAATTTACTAAACAGACGAGCTGCGAAACTAAAACCTGTTGCCGGATTGGGAAGGATGTCGTTGGATATAGGAACGGATGTCGCCGGAGAGAGTGATAGATGGAGATGGAATGAGTTGCGATTTAGGGATTTAGTTTATGATTTCAGTGTTATATACCCAAAATTTCAGTGTTGTGATTTACAGATTCTCGTTGCGATTTACGGATTATCGTTGCGATTTACAGATTCTCGTTGCGATTTACGGATTATCGTTGCGATTTACGATTCGTTGCGATTTACGGATTATCGTTGCGATTTACGGATACGCGTTGCGATATACGGATACGCGTTGCGATATACGGATACACGTTGCGATTTACGGATACGCGTTGCGATTTATGTGTTCGCGTTGCGATTTTCATATTCGCGTTACGATTTTGGAAAATCGCAATGCGAATTTGTACTATCGCATTGCGATTTTCAAGAATCGCGTTGCGATTTTGGAAACTGATTTGCGATTCTGGGGATCGCGTTGCGATTTTTATTTCGCGTTGCGATTTTGTTGGTCATTTTGGCAAATCCAAAAAAAGTTGGTTAAAATCGTATATTATAACTTTTTTTTGGTCACTGAGGCGATTTTCTCATGTTATAATACCAATAGGATATTTTGGTGTATTTTTTTCTTAGAATGTTATTCTCACATATGTGTTAGGTTTTATTTTATTCCCGTACTAAGGTTAAAATATCCCTCTTTTTCAGTTTGTCTCTGTGTGATATCTTATTCTCCTCGTGCTACAAAAATTCATCGTTTCCTAATAAGATTCATCCTTTGCTTTCTCTCTGTTTTCCTCCATTCAAACACATTGTAAAGCTACATTATCTTCCTTCTTTGTTTCCCTCTATCATTTTGCATGTGCTTTATTCTATTTCTGTCGTTCTAATTTCAATCAAATCATTTTTTTCTTTTGGGTGAAACTCTTGAAATACCCTCACTTTTAGTGCATGATTGATTCATTTGTTTCATCTGTGGTGTGTTTCATTTGTTTATTTTTGTGATTTTGATAAGGTTGTTACCGTGCTGTAAAAAATTCATCATTTCCTAGTGAGATTCCTTGTAAGATTTTTTCTCCTCGCTAGCATATGTTTCTCGGTCCGAGTCGCTTAAGTTTCAAATCTGCAGAGTCTTACTAAACTTTTAATTTCAATGGATGAAACTCTGGGCCAAATTCCTACTAGGAACAGTGGTTCGGTTATGATCCGTACGTATTTCAACTCCCCAAATCCCCCTTAAAAAAACGCTTACATCCTTTTGTTTTCCTTGATTTCTTTTTTTTTCTTTAGTGATAATTGCAGAGTTGAAGAAGTCATTGCACGCTGTGTTCTCACAATTCGGAAAGATACTATGTAACATCCTCAATACCGAGTTAGTGATCAAATTGTAAAGTTTTAGAATTTGGTGACTAGAGTAGAACAATGGATTAGTTCAATGATTTATTTGGAAATAAATCATAAAAGTTGTTAGTAATTATTAGATTAAGTAAAGGGCAAAATGGTCATTTGACATGAAAGATTTTTTATTTTCCCTTATAAGGAAACCACGTGAGAAGAGGGAAAAGAAGTTCTAGAGTTCTCTTCATCTTTCTTCTTCCTTCACGCGTGAAAACCAAGAGCCAAAGGTGAGTTTTCTGATTATTAGGTTTTTGGTTAAATTTAAGATTGGTTTGTTATTATTAGATGATAACTAAGCTTATGGAAAGCTTAAATTATCTTAAAATCAAAGTATGATGGAGTTAGGAGGGATTAAAGATTTGATGTTCTTAGAAGAAATATTGAAATAGAGTTCATAACTTGAATTGGAAGTTAAATTTGACTTGTCATCAATCTAATTAAGAGATATGAAGTAATAAAATTGGATTTGTAACATGTTAGAAATTGAGTATGATTATTGAATTTCATAAGGATGATAAGATTTTGAAGTTAAAGATGGCTTATATGGATATAAATTGGTTTAAGCATATGTATATGAATTAAGAACATGAAAGGGGATGAAAGATAAATGATTTGAGTGGATTTTCGGGCTTAAAAATTAATTATGGGATATGTGCATCGATGCACATTCAATGTGCACCGATGCATCAAGGGTAAATTTTCAGAAATTGTTCAGTGTGTATCGATGCATAGGAAGTGCATCGATGCACCCCTTAAAAATGGAAACATCGAATGCAATTAATGTATCGAAGCATAAGGAGTGCATCGATGCACATGTTAAGGGATGCATCGATACACTGTAGAATGCATCGATGCACTTCAAGGGAAATTGAAATAGACATTTCTTTTGGTCTAAGAAATGATGGATTAGAGTATATCAATGGGATACTGATATGTATCAATGTATGATTATGTAGATATCGAACACGAATAAGGTCCGGAACGATCCTCAAGTTAAGATTCGATCGAAAGAAAGGAAATCATAAAAGTGGATTGAAACTTAGTGAGGCCAATGTGAGTGCATATTATTAGATTGTGTATATTATTATATGGAAATTAGAATTGTGATAAGTTTGTTTCCAATATTTTATATTTTGCATGAATGGAAGCATGATTAAGTTTGTATTATGTGTATATGCTTTGTTCATATTATATGTTATGAGGTGTGAATTTATATGATATGGGTTATTTGGAAACGAAATAGGTAACTATATGTGAACCTTATGAGCTATATGAATATGTGAAATAAGTTATAAGGTCACGAATCATGTATAATAGTAAATGTTGTATGTGATAACCATAGAAAGGAAATAAGTTAAGTGATCATGAACATGTAAATATATGTTTAGATGAAGATATAATAGCAAAACATAAATTACATGAGTCAAGTTTATGGAAACTATTATAATTTACTTAGAGTATTAAATGAAAAGTGAGATAAACTAACTAGCATTGATTTATAGGAAAATATGAAAATAAAATATCAATTAGGAGATCTGTACATAAATAACGATAATCATATGAGAGATAAGCTGTATGAGAAAGATTAATGTGCTTAGATGAGCTATAATATAGAAATTACATGGTAAAGATCTATGAAGTCATAGGAAAAGGTTATAAGAGTAATGTAAACTTGAATTTAGAGAATATAAGAAATTTGTATATAAATGCATTTATATAAGTGATATATGTTAGTATGCTACAATATATGTTATAGGATCTATGTAAGCATAAGAAAACAAAATATGAGCTAGGGGTTATGAATATAAATGATGATATGATTATGTACAATAAATTAGGAATTATGATCTAGGTGTTTATAGGTCTATAAAAAGATATAAGAACAATATATATAAGCTACGAAATAGGAACTGTGGGATTTTAGTGCTATATAACATTATCTATGTTATTAAGTACAAATGTGATATCCATATATGACAATGATTTGTGAAATTGTATGAAAATGTGATATGATCTACGGGATAATAAATCATGTGAATTATATGGAAGTGATTTGTGTGTACATGTTTGATATGTCTTACATGATATGTATGATTTCACAAGAAATGACATGAGCTATGTGATAACATGATTATAAGAGATCAGGCATGCGATAAGAGATAAGTGTTATGAATGTGTGAATATGAAATGACATAGATAATAATGCTCATGTTATGTGTCATGAGAGCTAGGGGTATAGTTGGCATGTCAAGAGTCGAGGGTCTACGTGGTCCTTCGAGACATATATGTATTCCTTGGAACATGTGTGATGTCTTTTGAGACACATACTTGATCTTTTGTATATGTATATGATTCTTAAGGAATTTTCTACGTGGTCCTTAGGGACATTTTATATGGCACTTCGGTGCAATTCTACGTGGCACTACGGTGCATTTCTACGCGGCACTTCAGTGCATTTATATGAGTTGTGGTGACAGCATTTGTGCACAACCTCTATAGACTCACATATCTATAGTTATCATATGTGTACATGGGCTAATAAAATGTAATATTAATAAACTTGATATGATGATATGTTTGTTTCCTTGTGAAATGTTATGTGTGATATATGATTGTAAAAATGGTAATTACAGAATCAATGATATTGATAAGCATGAAGATGGTGATATAGTTACTTCTGTGTATGTGTTTTATGATAGGACATATATGAGTACATGTTAAAGTATCTGTGAATGATTATAATTGATTTACATGATGATATAGTAACAAGTTTACAAGATAAATGATATAAATATAAGAGATCATCGGAACTTGAGATAAGAGATATGAATAATAATGACATATGTGGATATATGTATTTGTTAACTGTAAAAGTGTATGAAGTGAATGATAGTAGTAATTGTTTATGTATAATTATTAGTTAAAGTTTGCATTATATGTTTAGTTGCCTCACTAAGTCATAGACTTAGCGTGTGATTGTTTCACACGTAGGTTACAGAAGCAAGAAGAAAAGCGAAGAAGAGCAAGACATGTCAGTATCTCCCTTACAAAATTTCAGATCAGAAAATAGATGATTTAAATGTGTTTTGGTTAATTTGAATACAGTTGGCATGTACTAAGTGATTGAGTTGAATATGCTCTGATAGATTTTGGTTATTTTGATCAATTTATGTAGATAAATCGCTTTTAATGGAAGTTTTAAATTTTCTTTGAATTTTGGTCAAGAGTCAAAATTTGAAAAGTCAATGTGACACCTCAGACTCGTAATCGGGTCGGGTACGGGTCTGAGGGTGTTACATACTAGATGTGTTAGCATTGAAGACGCTGAAACACAAAGGTCAAGCTTGGGTTATTTTCGAGGATATTAGCTCTGCTACCAATGCTCTTAGGCGAATGCAGGGCTTTCCCTTTTTATGACAAGGAGATGGTATATGTATTTTTGCAATTGGTTCCTTGTTTCTGTCATTGATGGAGACTGCAACAAGTTTCCAAGCTCCGCTTTTAATATCAACCATGTTCTCTATCTGCATAAGGGACATAGTATTTGCTACTAATATTACTAACTAACAAAAGCAATGTTTAAATGTTTGCAGAGAATACAATATGCGAAGACTAAATCAGATATAGTAGCAAAAGAAGACGGCACCTTTGTACCCCGAGAGAAGCGAAAGAGGCATGAAGAAAAGGGTATGTTCTGCATTGCCCCTTATATTCAGTTGAAAATGTTAAAAGTTAAGTAACTTTTTCTTGTTGTATATGGTTTGGTTCGATCAGTATCGCTACTATTTTTGTTGTTGGTAATAAGTTCTTTCCTCTACTATTGCTTTGATCTCGAAGCTTGAATTTATTAAAATCCTTGTTAGAGCATTGTAGATGCTAGATTTGTCCAGGGTCTTTTTCGAAGATTGATTCGAGTTTATTATTATTAATATTAGTATAAGTGTGATATTATGTAGTTTTTGGTATATATATATATATATATATAGCTAAGTAATTAAACAATTAAAAAAAATCAAAAATACGCTAAACATTTTTATTTGATTTTTAAAGGCCCAAATTAGAAATCAGATTACAACAGCCCATCACCAAGCCCGAACTCAGTAGCCCGATAGTGCATCCCACAAAAGAAACCCTAGGCCCGTCAGGGTTTTCTGTCATCAGCCTCCAAGCGCCGCAGTATGAAGGTCATTGGATTTGTCATCAAGATCAAACGGTTCCCAGCTATCTTGTGAACCCCGAGCTTGCACAGGAACCCGAGACAGTGCGCATCAGACCACGCTTGTCGACCACCCGGAAGCCCGAGACAGTGCTCCATGCTCACCGCTACTCGATCTCGTACTCAGCAGGATTTTGTTTTTGTTTCTCTAGGATGTAAGGGTATGGAAAAATAGAAAATAAAAGCAATAACAAGAAACAAGAAAAAGGGTGATCAGCAGAACGAAAAATAAAGGAAGAAAAGAGGATAAAGGCAATAAAAAAATAGGAATCCAAGGAGGAATGAATCAACAACCACCAAGGATAAACAAAAAAATAGTAGGGGAGAACCCTAGCCTACGAATCAGAGAGCCATCATCCATCACCAACAAAAAAACGAGTAAAAAAATAACCATTAGCAAACGGTAACCCAAAAACCATTCGAACAAGAAAAAACCCATCAATGGCCAGAGAACAAAAAACGAAACCCTTGCCTTCCCTGTCAGTTGAGGCTTACCCACGTCGTCCGGTGTCAA